ATTCTGGTTGTTATCACATTTTCCTGCCAGGTTGTTAGCACATTTTCCTTCACTGTATCTTTCCAGCATTTTCCAGTGGATTTTGCACGATTTCCTCTGATTGTTATCATGTTTTCCTGCAGTTTCTATATCCTCTTCGTGGGTTTTCAGTCTATTCATGCATTTTTAATCTATTTTTCCAAGAGTTTTACCCGTCTCCTTCATTTTCCGATCGTTTTTGCACCATTTCCTCTGGTTGTTATCGCATTTTCCTGCACTTTCAGTGTCTTTTTCCAACATGTTTACTGCATCGTCATAATTTGTTCCTAGCAGTCACTCCGGTTTCCTCCATGTTCCAACAGATTTTGCATGGTTTGTTCCTAGCATTTTCCTCTGATCGTTATCATGTTTTCCTCAAGTTTCATTGTATTTTCCAATACATCCTCTTTGTGGATTTTCAATATGTTTTGTCCAGCATTTTCTTACTACATGTTTCCTATCATTTTCACCTCTTTCCTCCATAGGTTTTTGCACCATTTCCTCTGGTTTCCTGCATGTTCATACCTTTTCAATATTAATATTAATCCAAGAGTTTTACCTGTCTCCTTCATTTTCCGATCCTGTTTGCACCATTTCCTCTCGTTGTTATCACATTTTCCTGCACTTTCACTGTATTTTTCCAGCATGTTTACTGCATCGTCATGGTTTGCGCCTAGCATACGCTCCGGTTTCCTCCATTTTCCAAGGGATTTTCCATGGTTTGTTCCTAGCATTCGCTCCGTTTTCGTCCGTTTTCCAGGGGATTTTGTACGATTTCCTTTGATCGTTATCATGTTTTCCTGCAGTTTCATTGTATTTTCTAATGCATCCTCATGGTCTCTCCGGCCACCAAAAAGGCGGACCTAGGGGGAATCGATACCCCACCGTTAGCAAATTACCTAGTGGTACATAATCCAGCAAAATGCTCCGTTTTCTGGTGCTCAACACAGGGGCACGGCGAGATTTCGTTCCCTTTCGTAAAAACTCACAAATGCTACCTCTGTGAGATTAACAGTGCCCTTTCTGAAGAAAAATGCCTTGAAAGAGCAGAGAATTACTTCAATAAACTCTCTTAGTCTATGCAGTATTCACTTGAAACAGTAATATATTTAGAAAAGAGTTGTAGTGTAGCATTACTTTTTTGCAATGTTCCATTGAAAAGAGTGCTACATTCCTTGAACATGGTGGTACATTCCTTCAAGAAAATGCAACATTGCTTTGGCATAGAATGCCTCAATAGATGCAGTAGTACTTGGAAAAAGTCTGATCTTGTCAATTAGAATTATTCTTCAAAATATAAATGCTCTTTTGATCGTCCTATATGTATATATATATATACATATATCTATCTAATAATTCACAGTGCGTTCATTGATTTTTTCAGGCTTGGGGAAAAGACCCAAAGCTGAAACTTTTTCATGGGAGTTACATAAATCAATCCCACCTACTTAAGGGAAACTCAAGATGGATGAATTTCCAGAGGAATGCCTTCAGAATGCATTCTTCCCCCAATCTAAGATCTAAGATTTGCCCAGGAATCTTGGGGGAATCTTAGATCCAAATCTAAGATCTAAGATCGGACCAAAATCTAAGATTTGCTGAGGAGTCTTGGGGGGATCTTAGATCTTAGATTTGGCATTCTGAATGCATTCTTCCCATAATGCTATCATCGAAGTTAAGTTGAATCAATCCAAATATGTATGTATATATATATACATATATATATATATATGTGTATATAAATATATATATATATATGTAAATATATATATATGTAAATATATATATATGTAAATGTATATATATGTAAATATATATATATGTAAATATATATATATGTAAATATATATATATGTAAATATATATATATATGTATAGCTTCTGTGTGTCCATGCCAAAAAAAATGTATATATATATATATGCATGGCACCCCCTCTCAACACTACTTCACTACTGCCAAAGTTTCCTCAAAATATGCCTAAAGATAATTATCCATTATTGCAAATATACCGCAAATACCAGTAAAAGTAATAACAATACTTTTTTGGGGGGGGGGTACCATGTATACGTTTATATAATATATATATATATACATTATATATATATACATTATATATGACATATACAGTATGGCATATATCACATATATCGCATCACATATATCACATATATCATACATCATACATACACGCATATCACATATATATATATACGATTATATACGTATACAATACGTATATAACAGGTAGTGTATTTGTTGATCAAAATTGTTTCGTCCGGAAACGGCCATTCTGCGCGGGAGGAATGTTACAGTAGCAAGACTTTCGCAAACTCCAAGCTTGTCTTCTGCGGGACCAATGTGGCATATCTCATGAAGATAGGACCCAGTCACTACCTGCCAGATTGTCAAAGATTACTTCATGATAGCCTTGTAGACTTGCAGGTAGCATCACTGAATCTCTCATCATGACATATTATACAATCGTTGTCCATCGGGCTTCTGCAAGGCTTACTGGGCCATCCCCGTCAAAATGCACCCTCGATAGCTTTCCCGGAACATTCACACAAATCTCCCTATATAGGCCAAGGATGGCCAAGGTTGTTTGTATTCAACGACGGTTCATGATGTTAGCTCTCTTTCGGAAATCTTTCGCCAATAAAAACTGTTTCGGGCGCAAATTCGAGAAAGACTTTCGCGAGGAATATAAGCACAATATTGAGCATCATGAACGGTCATCACAACCACAACTTCTTACAAGGAACTTTAGATCAATACCCATACAATATCATACAGTCATGTAGTTGATAATCTTAAAAGATACATTGTGGAGGTGCTGATGTACAAGTGTTCTACTTCGTTTTGACCGAATCTGGACAAAAGCCTTTCACCATCTCTCACTTGTCGTTTTATCCGACGGTATCCTGTTGTGTCCTCTTGTTGTCTCCGAGAAGGCGGCTGGCTTTGTGAATTGTGGGCGGTTCTGGTCGCTTCTTTACACCTGAAAGTTGCTTTGTGTCCACTAAGTGGGGTTGAGTAATGTTGAGTAAGGTTGAGTAAGGTCCACCAAGTGGTCTGGATGGTCGGTGTCAACATTCCGTAAAGGATCGTAAAGGCAGAGGCAGTAAAGGCACTGTGGAACCTGGTCCAGACTGGTACGGCAATCGGCTGCATCGGCCTGAAGCCGCCTCCTTCTTTTTCTTCGCTGCTCGGGCTTGGGCTTGAGCAGCTGCAGCCCTAAGACACCAGATGGACACCGTGACTTGGAAAACATGTCTGGTCCATCTGATCTTACACCGATCTTACATCTTACATGGTCTCTTAAGAGTCTCTTCTGTATTCTTATGATTTCTTATATATAGTTTTATATGGTATTACACACGCATCTGCAGACCTCTCACTCCTCTCGCACCACACTCCTACGGTTCCTAACATTCCTATATATATATATATTCCTATGATTCTTACAGACCTCTTCACTCGAGTTGATTCCTACCATTCCTACCTCATGAACCAGTAACGTGAGCGTGTGAGGCTGAGGCTGGAAGTCAATCTTCTTCAGCACATTGCCGGCATGCCAGTCGCGCCCTTGCGGCTCATCAGAGTCTTCTGGTACTGTTGAAGACAACCGAACTGGTCTTACCAAAACAATCAAATACAAAGACTGCAAGTGACCGCACGTGCATAGCTTCCGGATCTGCAATTACGGCAAGAATCGGCAAGAACATTGGTCTCACTGTTGGTCTTACTGGTCTTGTGGCGCCTCCGTAGCGAGTGACCAGACTTTGGTCTCGCGAGAGTCTCGCACCCGCAAAGGCGAAGGCAACTGCACCTGCAAAGTGTTGCGGCGACCAAGACCTTGAAGCCTTTCAACATGTGAAGACCAGACATAGCAAGCCATAGCAAGCCATAGCAAGACCATGCAGGATCGTCATCATCGTCATCATCGTCATCATCGTCATTTGTTCAGATCCATGATTTGCTTTCTTCTAGTTTCTCTGTCTCTTGTCCTCACATGATCATGCTCTGAGTTTATCTCGGTATCAGGTACCTGCAACACTGCTCGCCGTCCAAAGGGTCGCCACAAGCAAAGCTGCTAGGATGCCCTCCAATTCTCATTGATTTGATCAGGATGGTCCAGTGGGCAAGACACAACACACATCAACACACTCTAGTTGCTACTCTAGTTGCTCTTTGGCGAAACGAATCTGTATTGAGATATTTGAGATGCATCGATTGCTTCTTGCATCCTTTATCATGCAGCATTTGTGCAGCTCTCGCAGCTCAAAATGCACAAGGAAAAGAACACTACTCGCCAGATCTCACGAATGCTCACAGGGAATATTCTTGTCACTCTTGTCCTTGGAAAGTGAGCTGTGTTCTCGTCGAGCCATCGCTAAGGCCTTCCAGAAATTTGAATCGCATTAAAGTTGCATATCTCACGACAACTCGGCAAAGCAAAGCTAGGCATAGCATTGCTCTGTCCCCTATGTGGCGCATGTGTCCTCAACGGAATGCAGCCTTTCAACTCTTTTCAACTCTCTTGCTTCTTCGGAAACTCCTGATCTGATCTGATCCACATTTAGAAACTCCTGTTGTGAAGACTTGCCTCACAACGCCTGGTGTAGCTGCAAACAGAAAGCCGCAGCAGCCAGGCTTGTTCCGAAGCTGCAGACGTGCAAAGCAAAGGAAATTGGCTCCTTCATGTCCTGTCACGTCCCTCAAAAATATGTAAGAAGAATGTGTGAAAACAAAGTAGATATATAGATAGAGCTCAGTGCTGGGTTGCTCCAGTTTTGACTGAACTGCGAAACAATATGACACCATCCTATCCAGCTGTAGAGACATGTTCTTCTTGTGCAGACCCTGCAGCTTGCATTGTGCAACTTCACTTCACCAACTTCACCAACTCCTAAACAATGTTAGTGTTGCAAGTTTCCAACTGGTGCTTTGACTGGTCTTGCAACATGTTCAGCTGCCATCCCTTTTGGCTGCAAGCTTTGCGCAGGGAACCGACTTTTGGTGGCTTGAGTCCAAGTGCCGTTGGAGGGTCGAGAGCCACCTGCAGTGGCTCTCAACAGACTTGACATCGAAAACTGCCTGGTGCAGTTGGTTTCGCAGACTTCGCTTGTTGAGCGAAGCGCGGAAAATCGAGTCCTTTGGACTGCGCCATGGACTGTGCCATGGACTGTACCATTCAGTCTGCTGGACCTGCAAAGTCTCGGAGCTCCACACTATGTGGCTATGAGCTTAACCCGTCAGGCCAAGAACGTTTTTGAAGACCGCCTCGAAAGCTAAAGCACTTCTGGAGGGTAAACAAAGGTATACAAAGGTGTTAAAGAATGTCAGAGAACTGCGGTCAGACTGTGCCCTCTGTGCCCCGCACTGTGCCAATTTCAACACCCAGTTTCGCTTTGATGTTGGCCTTGGGCTCCTCCCACCTGAAGCAAACATAGTGACGTTGAACGATTTGACCCACCTTTGTTCTTCTCTTGATCAATTTGGCCTTAGCAATTTGATGCTAGTTGGTGCTATTTGATACTCTCTCTCTCTCTATACCATTAAAGAATATTAAAGATACAATAGCCATTGCACGCCTACTAAGAGCGTGCTCTTCACTGAGACTTGAATCGTTACAATTCTACCAATAAGACGAAGCCACCAGCCGCCCTTCTGCATCTGTTCGCAAGCAGATAGTAATCGTTCAAGCAGCCTGGGGAATTGGATCTGAATGTGACTGGAATCTGTATGACTTTATATCTGGTTTGTCTTTCAAGTATGGGAAGTTCAGCATCGTTCAGCAAGCGCGAGATGCTGGCTGCTGGCCTATCATAGTCTTCTTTCTTCCACTCAAGGGAGAAAAGAAGCCTTCCTGTGCCTCAGTTCTCGCAGTTCTCGCCGTTCTCGCCATGTCTCACGGAATTGGAGCGCTGTCGGCCGTTCACTCAGTGCCAGACCGACCCAACTGAGGCTGACGCCTGCATCCTGGTTCTCGTGCAAGAGACAAGGAAAAAAGAACAAAAAGATACAAAAAGATTAATAAAAGGCTTCGCAGCTCTTCCCCAGATCTTCCCCAGATCTTCCCCAGATCTTCCCCAAGAGCCTTCAAGAAATACTGGAAAAGCCAGTGGTATCGGCCTTGGGCATGGACGATGCATGCTGGGAATCAGAGAAAAGACAAGAATGATGATTGATTAGCTGGTTAGCCGTCAAATAAACAAAAGTCCTCAGAGATGCCACAGAGATGCTAAACTAAGTCTGTCACCGGGTTTGGTGTACAAAATGGACCACACTGAGAACCTTCAGCTGCACTTTAGCAGCCAAGTTGAAAGCAACACAACTGCTGCAAGCAAAATACCTTCAATACGTCTCGCAGCTGAGCCTATCTGAGCCTTGTGCCAGTTTGTCAACTGAATGGGGTAGTCCTTCTCCTGGGGTGCAATGCAAGATGCAAGTAACGGCAAGTGAAAGCGTGGGGGTGCACTCAGAACACCTCAGAACACCTCAGAACCATGAGATTCCACTGACAAAATGAGTCTCCTGGAACTTAGCGTTTGCTGTCTTGATGAAATTGTCAATGTTGACATGCCTTGGCACAAGATGCACAAGCACTTATTAAAGATACCGATGCCGCCGATGCTGCATGTACTTTGAACCGAGGTGTAGACATCACGTCATACGACTTTATAGTTTCTGGTAGCTCCAACCTTCACTGGTCGGCACAGAGCCGAGAGTTGTCACTTTAGCAGCTTTAGCACATCTTGCAGCAGCTTTACATCAACACTGTAAGACTTCGGAGTTGCAATGGACAATCAAAGAGAATCGAAGACCAGTAAGGAAGTAAACTGCAGTAGTCCAAGTCCAAGATACATGTTTATGAGTATAATATAGTACGTATAATATGATACAGTATACAGATAGATCGAGAAATCATTGGATAAATTGATTGGTGGAAGGATCATGACGGATAGATATGTAGATACAGAGAGAGAGAGAGAGGAAAAAGAACGGGGAAAAAAAAGAATGGGTCCGTTCACATGTTCTATTGTTCAGGTCCAAGCAGCCACTTCAAGAAGGCGTTCATGCTAGCCATGACAAATGGATGGCCAGCAAAGGTACCGATGACCTCACTCTGATCCCAAATTATTCATATCATAACTTGATGCGTTTATGACATGACTGACAAATACTGACAATATATGCTTGAGAGAGTCTCCCAAAGCGTGTGAGAGAAGCTGAGCTTACGACATAATTGACCCGAGCTGCCTTCTTGGCATCGCCTCGAGCCATCAAATCTGTCGGTCCGCAGACCACACCTGAAGCCGATGCTGCAGCGACATGCAACGAATGCAGGATTACACGAGGATTACACGAGGATGACACGGGTGACTGAATCATCTGAATCTAATTGCCATGTCAAGAAGTTCTATAAGCAGCACAAGCGGGTTTTGTTCAAGCCACAAGAATTTCAAGCCCCCGGCCAATAGGCAGGCCGCCGCCCAGGGTCTTCCCGTAGCAAACAATATCTGCCTTGTCAACAATCCAGCAACTACATTAGTGTATTCGAAATTCGAAGAAGATAAAAGGAAGATATTCAAAATAAGATATCCAGCTGCGGGAGTTGAGTACTTCCTTGAGCACTTCGTTCACTTCGTTGAGCCGTTGAGATCTGTTGAGATCCGTTGAGATCCGTTGAGATCCGTTGAGATCCGTTGAGATCCGTTGAGCACTTTGTTTGGGCAAGATGGGCAAGATGCCTTCACGTCGTATGCCCCTTGGGCTCCTCTGGGATGCAACCGGAAGCCGGTGTACACCTGAGCATCTAAGAATCTAAGCTTCGGAAAAAACTGCCACGATTGGGATCTTTTGGCACTGACTAAGTGTCTGTAAGGTGCTCAGTTCGGGGTTTAAGGTGTTGAAGCCTGGCCTCGTCAAAAATGAGAGGAATTCCTCCTTGCTTGCAGGTATCACGCCTCAGGTTCATTCATTTCATTCACGATATTCGCTTTATTTAATCCATCCTTCCCTTGGCTCTCCGGATCGCTACTGCATTGTCATGCTTCGTCGAGAAAATATGTCAAGAGTTCAAAAATAACGACCGTTCTGCATTTCCCGTGGTTAACAAGAAGAGTGGGCACTGCGTGTTACGGATATTTCTTTAAAGCAAAAGTCGTACGAACCTGAATTTCCCTGAACTGTGATCAGTCTGCGGCAAGCGATGCAGCCACTCCTTGTAGCCTGGCGTTGGACCTACCTGGACCACAAGATCAGCGAGATCAACGAGGTACTGCAGCATACTGCAGGAATTTGTTGTGTGAAGATTGTGAAGTGCGACATCTATAAGAGTCATTCAGCACTGGCACTTTACCCACCTTGCGATTGTTCGACGAAAGGACAGGATCACTAGGTGGTGACCTTCAAACAAAACAGGTATTTCGAAGTGACCTTCGGAGATCTTCGAAGCACGCTTCACCCAAACCCCAATAGGTCAATAGATCTTCAACACTTGGCGCAATGCTGGTTCAAGTGAAAGCACTGGAGGGGGTTGACGAGCACCGCAGCAATTTCGCTGCTCCTAGCCTGTGCAAGTTGTTGAATGCCCCGATGCTCGGACCATGAGCAGCACACGATGTCACACGATGCTCAAATGGTTTCCGACTTCGTGTGGAGACGTTGGAGCGCTGCGCATACTGCACGCTCTTTTACTATCTATATTCTATGTTTTACTATGTTTTACTTACAGTATATTTACTTATAAGATCTTATAAGATCTTATAAGTTTCTTCCTGAACTTTTCAGGGCCCGCCTCAATCACCTTGAGGGAGAGGTTGCTCATGTCCTTGCCAGGACGAAACTCTCCAGGTGCAAAGTCAAGTGCCGTAAAGATCCGCAAAGCACTTGACTTCAGACACTTTTCTTGCTTATCGGCTTATCTTTGCTTATTTTTGCTTCAGACTGTCCTTCAAACAGAGCACATCGCTTGGCAGGCGTTCATTTCCTGCCACTGGCTGCATGCCATCCCACCAGCCTGTCATCAGCAACGGAGACCGAAACGTAGAGACTCATAGAGACATAGAGTCTTGTGAACCATGGCAGCAAGACCGTGGTACCTGAGATTGCAGCAGTTCCACCATGTAACAAACCAAAACACGCGCACACAGTTTTTCATTTCACAGTAAGGAGGCTACGCACCACCAAATGTCACCACCAAAGGTTTCTGAGTGTTGAAGCGGGCAACTCGCACCGCCTCACATGTCTTAATGGCGCCCTAGCTCTGTCTACTCAATTCTGCTCACGACAACCCACATATACCATCAATTACCATCATATATCCACATCTTACCTGCAAGAACCCTTCTAAACGTCTTGACAATTGGCTTTTTGACTCAGCCAACGTCTTTCTGCTCTGAGGTTGGAACACACATTACCGCTTCAGTACCTGACATGTGGAATGACACCTGGCAACAAGAAGGCACCACAGACTCGAAAAAGTGCACATGCAATCCTGCCAGGATCTGCCAGGATCTGCCAGTATCTGCCAGTCATGTCTTCCGTTCCACTTCGTTTCACGAGTTTCGCCAGGCCATGCCTCTGGTTGTCCAGAGATCTTGCGGAGCCGGGCAATGTTGTCTAAAACCTAGCAGATTTTGAGACCGCACAATTTCTGAATTGCTGTCAATTGCTGTCAATTGCTGTCAATTGATACTACGATGATCTACGATGTCATATATTTCTGAGGACGTGGCCGTCTTGTCCAACGATCCCAGGAACAACCTGGAGGGTGAGACTCTTCAAGTCTCTTCACATGCAATTGATAGGACTTGGTGCGCATGGGAATTGCAGGGAATCATGAGATGTGTATAGGACAAATACGTACAAATACCATGGAACTACTGTCAAAACTGTCAATAAAAAAACTTGACAGGCAGACCCTTGCTTTTTGGCCGTAGTCCAACCCTCTTCGATGAACTCCTTGTACCTTCCCCAGCAGATCTTCTTTACAACAAAAGGAAAAGAGAAGAGATGCACATAATATCATTTACTGCCACGTAAATTCTATTAAGCCTTATATATTCCCGTTGCATTTGAGTTAGGCGTGGCGGCTGCGGCACTTCTCGTATCCACAAACGTTGACGCCATAGGAGCCAGAGATGTCCTACAAGTATTTCAGGCTTCACACTTGACTGGCTAGTTCTACTGTAGCTAGTTCTAGCAGCTAGTCAGCCAGTTGATGTTGGTTGTACTTCAGAAACATCTTGTGCATAACGCCTTTGAGCGTTCGAGGTCATTGGATCAAATTTGATCTCTTCAAATCTGCTTTGGAGACTGCTGGGGTCGAGAGATGGAGGATGCAAGACGGGAGAGACTGCAGGAATTGTCCATGGCGCTGTTCTCATCGATGTCGACCACATCAACACCTTCGGTGCCTAAGCTTAACGCTTGAAAAACTTCGACTGTGTGTATTTGTGTGCTGATTGATCCAGATTGATTTGTGCGCAGTGCAGAGCAGTGCAGAGCCTCGCTTTTTGCCGGGAGGATTGACCGAATCTTCATCAAGAACAATCCAACTGTCTAGGTTTCTGAGCGTCTCTTGGGAATCTTTGTACCCATCAGAGTTCAACGTGTTCGAAGTACCTGCCAGCAACTACCAAGATGCAGGCGAAGCACCAAACATGTCAGAATGGTTCAACATCAATCCATCAAGAGCCGCTTCATATCACATGAATCACATGCAACACATGCAACGTAGGAAACACGTGAAACGTTGCTTTCTCTCTGTTTGACACTGTTACAGACATCTTTCTGTGTCCTTTCTGTTTCCTTTCTGTGTTTCTACATCTTATTCTCTCTTGGATGCCTCTGGATCTCCGTTGTTCTCTTCGAGCCTCCAGCTCAGCATCCTACAGCGCAGCTAGGTTGGTCTCTAAAATGTTATATAACATCTGTTAACAAACTCTTAATATCTGTATCTCTTAGCCACAAAAGCAAAATGGTATAGTCAGTATGGTCTTTGTGGAGGGAGTGAGGGATCGAGCAAGAACTCAATCTTAATCTTTCAAACGATGAACTAAGACAGGACTAACTTGTCATATGAGTCCTTTTAAGTCTACAAGACCAATCATTGTTGTTCCATCTCAGTCCAACCGATTCTATCTGATCTTGATTTTGACAAGCAAATGGGCGAAATCATGTGAAATCATATGCGAAATCCATGGCTCCTGTGAAGT